TCTCAAAGTATTCCACACAATAGAAGCAGAAGGGTCTTTGCCAAACTCTTTCTATGAGGCGTAAATAACCTTGATCCCCAAGCCACACAAAGACACAACTAAGAAAGAGAACTTCAGACCAATTTCCTTCATGAACATTGATGCAAAAATACTCAATAAAATACTCGCAAACCGGATTCAAGAACACATCAGAAAACTTATCCACCATGATCAAGTAGGCTTCATCCCAGGAATGCAGGGATGGTTCAACATTAGAAAATCTATCAATGTAATCCACCATATTAACAATCTGCGAAAGAAAAACCACATGATCATCTCACTAGATGCTGAAAAATCCTTTGACAAAATCCAACACCCCTTCATGATAAAGGTCTTGGAGAGATCTGGGGTAACAGGGACATACTTAAACATAATAAAAGCTATATACAGTAAACCAACAGCCAATATCAAACTAAATGGACAGAAACTCAACACAATGCCTCTAAAATCAGGAACAAAACAAGGCTGTCCACTCTCTCCATACCTTTTCAACATGGTACTTGAGGTTCTAGCCATTGCCATAGGACAACAAAGGGGGATCAAGGGGATACAAATTGGGAAGGAAGAGGTCAAACTTTCACTGTTTGCAGATGATATGATGGTTTACATCAATGACCCAAAGAACTCCAACAGGGAACTCTTACAGCTGACTAACACGTTCAGCAAAGTGGCAGGCTACAAGATCAACTCAAGAAAAATCAGTAGCCCTACTATATACAGATGATAAAAGGGCTGAGAAAGAAATCAGAGAAACATCACCCTTTACAATTGCCACAAACAACACAAAATACCTTGGGGTAACGCTAACCAAACAAGTGAAAGGGAATCTTTAAAGAAAGAAATTAAAGAAGCCCTCAGAAAAATGGAAAGATCTCCTATGATCTTAGATAGGTAGGATCAATGTAGTAAAAATGGCAATCCTGCCAAAAGCAATCTACAGATTCAATGCAATCCCCATTAAAATCCCAGCACAATTCTTCACAGACTTTGAAAGAACAATAATCAATTTTGTATGGAAAAACAAAGGACCCAGGATAGCCCAAATAACCCCGTTCAACAAGGCAACTTCCGGAGGCATCACCATCCCTGACCTCAAGCTCTATTACAGAGCTATAGTCCTGAAAACAGCTTGGTATTGGCACAAAAATAGGCAGGTAGACCAATGGAATCGAATTGAAAACCCGGATATTAATCCACACATGTATGAACATCTGATCTTTGACAAAGAAGCTAAAAATATACAGTGGCATAAAGAAAGCATCTTCAACAAATGGTGCTGGCATAACTGGAGGCTAGCATGTAGAAGAATGCGGATCGATCCGTGTTTATCGCCATGCACAAAACTTAAGTCCAAATGGATCAAAGACCTCAACATAAATCCAGCCACACTGAACCTCTTAGAAGAGAAAGTGGGTGGTACCCTTGAACGAATTGGTACAGGAGACAGCTTCCTGAACATAACACCAGTAGCACAGACAGTGAGATCAACAATTAATAAATGGGACCTCCTGAAACTGAGAAGCTTCTGTAAGGCAAAGGACACAGTCAGCAAGATAAAAAGGCAACCCACAGAATGGGAAAAAATAATCACCAAAACCACATCTGACAGAGGGTTGATCTCCAAAATTTACAAAGAACTCAAGAAGCAAGTCTCCAAAACACCAAAGGATCCAATTAAAAAGTGGGCTACAGAACTAAATAGAGAATTTTCAATAGAGGAGGCTAAAATGGCTGAGAGGCACTTGAGAAAGGGCTCAACATCCTTAGCCATCTGGGAAATGCAAATCAAAACAACTCTGAGATACCATCTCACTCCTGTCAGAATGGCTAAAAAGCAAAAACCCCAGTGACAATTTATGCTGGAGAGGATGTGGTGAAAGGGAAAACTCCTCCATTGCTGGTGGGAGTGCCAACTTGTTCAGCCACTTTGGAAATCAGTATGGAGATTCCTCAGAAAAATGGGAATAAACCTACCACAAGACCCAGCATCTCTACTCTTAGGCATATATCCAAAAGATGCCCATTCATACAACAAGGATGTCTGTTCCACTATGTTCATAGCAGCATTATTTGTAATAGCCAGAACTTGGAAGCAACCTAGATGTCCCTCAACCGAAGAGTGGATAGAGAAAATGTGGTACATTTACACAATGCAGTACTATTCAGCAGAAAAAAAAAAACAACGGAATCCTGAGATTTCCAGGCAAATGGATGACACTAGAAGAAACCATCCTGAGTGAAGTAACACAGTCACAAAAAGTGAAACATGGCATGTACTCTCTCATATATGGATTTTTAGACATAGATCTGGGGAGTGCGAGCCTACAATCCCATGGCCAGAGAGTCTGGGAAACAGAACCTTCATTCAGTGGCTGATGGAAGAAGAGGCATACTCCCATGGCTAAGCACTGAGCTGAACTCAAGAAAGCCAGTAACAGAGAGGGAGTACTGATGACCAAAGGGCTTAAGACTGGGCTGGTTTAACCCCCAGAAACAGCTGACCTGACAAAGGTTAACTCTTGTATCCCAGGCATCAGCCTGGGAATCCAACATGGGACTGATCAAGACCACCTGAATGTGGGTGTCAGTGAGGAGGCCTAGGTAATCTATTGAGGCTTGGGTAGTAGATCAGTACTCACCCCAAGTATACACATGGACTTTGGACTCCAGTCCAACAATGTGAGATGCACTCTCACCCTGAACTCTTGGGGGAGGTTCTAGGCCCTGCCCTGTATGAAATGACAGACTATGGACACCCCAATGGAGGGCCTGACCCTCCCTGGGGAAATGAGGGGATAATGGGGGTTTGGGGGGAGGGCACGAGAGGAGGGGAGGGAAAGGGAGAGGGACCTGGAACTCACTTGTGAAGTAACCTTGTTTCTAATCTAAATTTAAACTGAAAAAGAAAAACAAAACAAAACAAAACAAAAAAAAAAACAAAAAATTGATGGGGGGATGTTCTTCTGTATGCTGTGAATATATATTTATCTTATTGGTTGGTGAATAAATGCTGATTGGCCAGTAGCCACATAGGAAGTACAGGTGGGGCTTTCAGACTAGGAATGCTGCGAAGAGGAAAAGACAGTTGAGAGAGGACACCATGAAGTTACCGGGAAGAGAAGACACCGGGCATTCTCTGGTAAGCCAAGACTACATGGAGATACTTAGATTAATAGAAATGGGTTAATAATTAAGAGAAAGCTAGCCAATAAGGAGCCTGAACCATTGGACAAACAGTTTATAATTAATATAAGCCCCTGTGTGTTGATTTGGGACTCAATGGCTGTGGGACCAGATGAGGCAGAAATTCCTTCTTCAAAAAATGGTATGAATGTAGGTGAGGTAAAGAATCTTTGTATATTGTTGGTAGGATATAAAAAAGTTTATCTGCTATGGAAATCAGCATAGCAGTCCCTCCAAATACTAGGGACTATCATATGACCTACCCATATCACATCTGGGTGTGTACATCTAAGACATCATACAAAAGAGGGATCTGAAAACTTACAAACACTGTAACAGAAGATACACATAGGCATTGTGGTGATAACACAATTTATCACAGGCATGCTATGGAAACAGTCTGTGACCATCAATGAACCAATGGATAGTATGGAATATGTACACAGAAGAGTGTTATCAGACTACTGAGAATAGTATTATGTCACTTGAAGGAAAATAATGGAACTGGAGATCATCCTGTTAAGTCAGACAAGCCAGATAAAGAAAGACAAGTGTCACGTGCTCTCACTTACCTTTGGAACCTTTTTAAAAAGAAATGAAAGAGTAGAAGGGTGAATACGACAGACTAAGAAAGAAACCATTGGGACAATGGAAGCTAGTAAATAAAATCATTTATGTATCTCATAACAAAACGCAATTTTGAGTGATGAATATTAAAAAACAAGTGATTATTTAAAATGTTAAAATTTATATTTATTTTATGTGTGTATGTATCCTGACTATATGTATGTATATAACATGAAGGTTTGGTGCCCATGGGGTCCAGAAGAGGGCATCAGATTCCCCAGAACTGGAGTTTGTAGGTGGTCATGAGCTGTCATGTTGATCTGGGAATCAAACCCTGGTCCTCTGGAAGAGCAGTAAGTGTTCTTAACCATTCAGCCATCTCCCATGCCCCCTCCCCCCAAAAAAGAACACTTTCTAACCTTTTTTTCCAAGATTTCCTTTTGTGGATTCACTTTGGTGTGAAATCTAAATATTATTGTCAAAGCCAAGATCACCTATGATCACCAATATTATCTATTATATAACCTATTTTCATTGATTTGTGCTTCAGGACCAGGCTTTTAATTATTGTTGAAAGTGTAAGATTGGTATCTATAATAATATGCTTTTCTTAACTATTCCAGCAGTATTTGTGGAAAACATTCATTTCTCCACAAAGTTGCCTTTGTTCCTTTGTCATAGATCAGCTGAATCTATTCATGTGCATTCATTTCTAGGTTCCTTATTCTGATCAAATGATCTGTAATTTCCCCACCAATTCTACCATGCCTTCTTACTGTTCTATAATAACCTTTGAAGTCAGGTAGTGTTTGTAGGCTTTGCTTCTGGACAATATTGATTTGACTTTTGTAGAGTTTTGCCTCTTCCATAATATCCACAAAATAATTTACTATGATTTTGAATTGATTGCATTGAATTTGTAGGTCACATCTATAAACTATTAAGCCAAAAGATGGAGTATCTCGCCACTTACTCAGCTGTTTAATTTAATCAATTTTCTAATATATTCTGAAATATATCATGTACAGTTTTGTTAGACTTACACCTAAGTTTTATTGCTTTTATTGATGTTTTTCAAACATCCAACTTTGGTTCTGTTAACTTTCTATTGCTTCTTCATTTTCACAGCCATTAACATCAAGTTTCTGTTTACTTCTGTTATCATTGTAACACAAGACAGAGCAGATACTAAGAGTATGCCAATTTAATCATTCATTTTTAAATGTTTTATTAAATTTGACAGTGAATTGTAAGAAATAAAGAATACCTAGATCTTCTCTAAATAGCTTAATCTCAATGAAGGTGCATAAATAACCAGCAATTTGTAGCTCATAGAAATGTAGTTTATTTCATGCAAAGCTACATAATCTACTATATTTTAATAACGAATCATATAAACACTTCAAAAAATTCATTACATCACAGTCAGTTACAATACTACAAAGGAATTGTGAGTCAATGAGTTTGTCAAAATCAAACTAAGGAACATTATGCATAGATAAGGCCAATGCTAACTTACTTACTGATAGCACTTTGCAGTTTTTTCCAAATATAGATTTGAAAATGTAGTGAGAATCTACAGAAAAATAGTTAAATCTACAACCTACTGGCCAGGTAGGAATACATCCAATAATATCCAGTAATAAAGGCTGATGAAGAATAAACTTGGCATCATGCACCCCCAAAATGAAGAGTTTACTATTTTGAAAATTGTGACTGGATACAATTTGAAAAGATTTATGTTCTATTTCATCTAGTCAACTGAATTATATGAAGGCAAAATACCAAGCTCTATCAATGCAATGTGGAAATTAGGCTTATGAAATGCTTTCCTTGGGTACTGGTGTATGGTGCATGTATACATACATATGAAGAAACTAAGGAAATGCAGGCATGTTTCAAATCCACATCAGAGCACTCTACTTTAGAATATGGTACTAAGGCAGTCTGTTGGGTCAGAACTTAAAGATGACTTTAAAACTATTTAAAAGGAATACTACAATTACTTTCTTACAAAACATTTACAAAATTAAATACCAGGAAATAACATCAATAATTAGAGTTTTTTTTTTTACTTTTCAATGCTATAATTTATATATTAGGTTATAATATTCAAAAGATAGGTATACATATTCTCTATCTTCTAAAATGAGAAAAATCCTTCAAGTTGCTCCCAAAATATAGACAAAAACAAATCCATTGGATTGTTTAACAGAATAAATAAACAACACAGTGTCTTCCAAAAACTCAGTGTGCCAAACAGGGAAGAGGTTAGCAGTATTCTTCTGATAAAGACAGAAGATATATGCCATGATGCCAACTCCAAAAGCTGTGCACTTTAATGTGCTGTGGATCTGCCTTATATGTCTGCCACAGTCAGCTATTCTCTCTACTCTTATGCACCTAACACAGTAAAATTCTTTTACAACATTATTTATAATCAATATAACCGCCAAAGAAAAGGTTGCGGGCAAGAAACCAAATCGTCTTTTAGGATAGTGATAACAGAATTATAAGAAGTCTTATTTATTAAGAAAAGTTTAAATTACAGCAATACGACACCTGATCTCAATGGATAAATCCATTGAAGTGTTGTTATACCGGCTAATATGGAAGGAATTAGAGGTGAGCCTGCTTCCTTGGCAGTAGAAAGGAGGGTAGTGCCTGCCCCACTGGGCAGAGGGCTCACAGTGCTGGGATCTAGGGGCTGGAAGTTGGGCTAAACCTGCCTAGTCTTCCAAGTTGCTAGCTACAAAAAGTCACTGATCCAGAAGTAAAAATATTCAGACTTCACAAAGCCTCCTGCAACTCTTTGTTCCATTTTTAAACATGAGTATTTTTTATGAGTTCCTTTTCATGATAAAATACCTCACAGTTCTTAATGCTGGGCATTTTAAAGTCATTTTATACAAATTTTTACAGTGAAAATAACTTTTACTGCAGTGAACCTCTAGAGTCATCTAAAAGAAAGTGCACTGAGCTAGTATGCACCATGCTTCTATACAGACAAACACTGTTCACTTGTCCAGGAGTCTGTTTTACTACTTTAGGTACAATACTGCTATTTCAAGTAATGGGATTTAAATTCAGAAGTAGTTCCTTTTGACTGTACTGCTCATCAGAAACAACTGTGTACATAAGACAAACAAAAGAGGACATCTGTCAGCATACTGAAGGTCAAGTAATAACGAGAGGCAAGAGGGAGGGAAGGTCGGAGAGTGGGAGGCACAAAAGAAAGGCAAACCCTAACTATGCCTACTTCTTAGCTTTAAAGTTAAATTTATACATCCATTGCACTTTGAAAATTCAAGTGAGCCATGACTTCTCAAGGACTTGTTTTGTTTCTTAGTACAAATACACTTTCTTCCTTGTGATTTTTCAGACACGGTCCATTCAGAAAGTATAAATCTGAACTGTAATTATAGGCTTTATTTCTCCCTTAATATGGTAATCAACCTACTATCAAAAACATCCTCTATACCTGTTAAAGACATAAAACAAAGCCTGTAAATAAACATAATGAAATTTGTTCATTATCATGCTACAAGCACTTTAAAAAGTGACTTTACGCCTACACTTAATTTGGACACATACTATGTTTCCATTTTAGATCAGACATTTTAAATTTTAGATGTCAGAAACATACCAACAAGTAACACTTCTTTTTGATGTTTAGATGGTTGAATCTGATCTGTTTTTATGATGAGAACTTTTGATGCTTTGACTGAAGTCTTACTGCTTGTGTGAAATGAGACCCTTTTGTGGGATGAAATTATTCTAAAACTCTTGTATGAATGTGGTATGATAGCAAATATTTATAATTACATTTATATTTTAATCCTTATTTAAAATTCTTTTACAAAAATGCACAATTAATAAAATGATTATGTAGTTTTTAAGAAGTAAATTAATAATACATAGAAATGATTCTTGAAATTTATAGTTTTTTTCTATAATGCTTATTTTGAGTTATTGGTTTGTTAAGTATTCTTAACTAACAATTATTTAAAAATATTGATTTGGGTGATGTGGCACATATCTTTAATCTTAGAAGTTGAGAGGTGGAGGAGGAGGATCAGAAGTTCAAGGTCATCTTCAGCTATACAGAGGCTTGAGGCCAGCCTGGGCTACATGAGACCCTGTCTCAAGAAACCAAAATTTTAGATAATTCTAATCAAATACTTGTTAGTATGTAAGAAAGACATAAAAAAGTACCAGAAATAATTCTTTAAGAAAATCATTTTGCACATAAAGTATGTAAACTCTGTAGTAATATTTCTGTGAATTTATCATTACATATAATAAGTGTCTCAAAAATAAAAATATTGTACATATTACCAATGATTTATACAAAGTGGCTTAATAAATATTAACTTAATTCCTCAGAAATAAACTCAGTTTCCTAGCATGAAATCATTGCCTTCTAAACTCAAATTTACCCAGCAAAGTAACTTTTCTAGATGGTTGCATACAAAATCCTGTAAGAGAAATTCTTTAAAAATTTGAACATTCTGGATCACTGAAATGTCAAAAATTCACTGTGGAAATAATTCAAAATCCATAACAAGGCCCAGTATTATCTGTGAAGCATATGCATGTAAGCATATATATGTATGTATGCGCCTGTTAGTGTAACCTTCAAAGAAAATACCCGAATTCTTTACACATTCCTACCCATTTGTTTAGTACACTATCAAAGTTAGTTGTAAAATTGGCTATTTCTTTTCTTTTTATCCTTCTATTCCAACAATAGCATCTGAGTATTAAGAGAAAACTTTTAACAAAAAAGTATCTAAGAAAAATATTTCAAAGTAAACCCACAGAACAAATGATGAAACACTATTTCAGGGACTTTAAACAAATTAGTTCATTTTGCTTTGGGAACTTTAAAGCTTCTAAAAAGACCCCTTACTGTGATAATCATCCCTTTCAAAGCACTACTTAAAAAAAAAACTACAAACAAAACAGCCCAGCAAAACCCCAGCACACAGTCATCAACCTAACCCCTCACAACAGTTTCGTGAGGTAGATCAGTAGGTATGTAGCAAATACGGTCTTCATTCTGAAAATGAAGAAAGTGAGGCACTGAAAGGTTCCATGATCTGCCCAAGGTATTCCAGGAACCAATCATGAAATTATAAACAGCATTACATTATCACTGTGCTTTCTGACCACATTTCACAGTAAAAGTTTATATGTGTTAGATGTCCTTGAATTAAGCAGGTTATACAACCTTCCACTCAGAGTAAATCTATCTGTTGATATTTAAAGGGGGATCTATTTGAAAGGTCAATAAAATGCAATCGCTGAAAAAGAAAGATAATGAGGATGATGCATCCTTTCAGTACCAATATAGAACTATGTCCTCAACACTTGAGCCCTAGTAATGATTGTAAGGAAAATTGGTGCGAGACTGTCCTGGACTAGTTCAAGTCTGGTCATTCGTGTAGAATGGATTCTGTAAGAGACACAAATATTTCAGGACCATAAAACAATCTCTGCAAACATATTGCACTCAACCATGTTGACTTGTAATAAAACACTGGTTCTTTAAAATGTAATACCCAATGTGAAGGTTGAAACTACCAATTTAAAATAATAAGCATGCTTAGCAAACAAATGATTACTATGCATTTCCATTCTAATACATTTTTCTGCTTTTTCTAAGCTACAATTTTAGTGCTAACAATAATCATAAATGGCTTATTTTTTTAACCTCTAAATAGCCAGAATAGCCAGACATTTTCTTTTCAAGGAGTGTTAATAAGCGTCTTTTAAGTATTAGAGAACCTGGGTAACTCTTTGGATATATACATATATATGTGTGTGTGTGTATAATTTGGATACATATATTATTTGCCATTAATATTTATGATTTTTTTTCTTGGTTGGAATGATCAGTGTCAAGTCAGTATGCTAAATGCTAAAGATGAATGTTTTTCTCTGAAGTGAAAATCTTTTACAAAGCAATAATATCAAAACTATACCACAAAGAATGAAAAGAATAACACATCACCCAATTAGAATACACATGCTAAAGACACTAACACTATCAATTGAAGAATAATCTTAATTATGCATGCAAAATCCCACTAATTTGTATACAGATCGGAAGAAGAGTTGTTTACATTCAGTTATGTCTGATAAGGAAGCCTTTTTTAAGACATGAGTTTTGTGAAGAAGGTAATTATCTGAGGTCTCAGTTCACTTTCACTTTGTTAGGAAATGTAGATTGAATAAATTTAAATTATAGCTACAAAATTATATTATTTAGTATGACTTATGGTTTTCTTGGACCTTAAAGTAATTTTCCTGAAAGAAAAATTAACTTGAAACCAACCATGTTTTATGCCTATCATGAATTAAATCCTTCCATTTAACTCCACTTCTAAGGCAGACACTTCAAATGGTATGTAATAAATTCCATCAGAAAAGATGGTACTCTAGTCAACAAACAATAACCTAATATTGTTAAGATGTGATCCATTTTCAATGCCATTTTTGTTATTCTTACTATTCACAGAGAGAACAGAGGAATTGTAGGGCACAAAGATGTTCATAAATGCTGAGCTGATGTGATGACCTTGGTTATTTGAGTCATGAGTTTCTTCAGATTTTAGATATCTTCAAATATTACGCTGGAAGACATGGAGAGATAGCGTCCACCAGGTTGATACCTAAAAAGGAAACATACAAAAATGATCTAAAATATCAAAAATAAGATAAAAGAAAAATGAGAAAACATTAAAATGAAGTAACTACAAAATTTGTAAAGACGGTAAAATTTATTAGGTAGCCAAAAGTAGAAAGTAGAACCTATTTCCCAAAATTATAATCCAAAAGGGCTTTGTAAATCAACTGTAAATCAACCCGCAACTGTTTTGAAGACATATATATATATGGTATATATATATACCACAAAGTGAAGGACATAAGCAAAATGGGGGAATGTAAGACACATTCAGGAGACTGCATAAATTTAGAGTGGCCTCAGACTCACTTCGTTCCTCCCATCTTAGCTGCTCAAATGTTGACATTACAGGCAGGTGTCACCATATCTGGCAGAATGTCATAATTTTTCAAAAATAAAATAATTAGAGGTTATAAAATGGTGTAAAGTGCTAAGGACATAGCTTAGTGGTAGATATTTGCCTAGCATATACAATTCTTTGGTCTTAACTCCCCAGTACAGATAAACTTGAGTGTAGTGGTGCATGCCTGTAACAGGAGGTGAACACAGGGTATCAGATCAAAAGCACCTTCAGCTACACAGCAAGCTAGAAGGCAACCTGGGCTGTATGAGACTTGGTCTCAAAAAGCAAAACAAAACAAAGGTATTAAATGTTACTTCAAATTTTTGAATTAATAGTGAAAAGGAAATGTTTTCTTCTGTTGCTATGCTGAGCATACAATTGGGGCCTTCTGCATACCAGACAAACATACACCCACCAAGCTTTATCCTTAGCCCAATATTTTTCTCATTCTTAGTTATCTTTTGTTTTCAAGCTCAGTACATCATTAGAATTTCAGAGGCATACTAGAGTCAAGTGACCCAGCCAGAACTTACCTTCCTGATTCAGGTTCCAGAGAATCATCAGTGAATGTTTCTGCATTAAAATCCAAAGGTTCTGCATCCTGGAGAAGTTCTATTCGGTCTCTTTCAGTCCTGTTATTAGCCCTGGTGTACTTGGATGCTGCTCAGAAGAAGAAAAACAATGGCTACTTCTCTTTTGTCTTTACATTTACAGATCACAGAAAAAAAAATCAAGACTATATCTAAATGTTGGTGAAGACAAGAAACTTAAGTTGTTTTGTTCTTAGAAAATCAGATTCAAATTATGACAGTGTAATACAAAATAATGAGGACAATTTCTTGAGCCATCTAGCTAGTCTAAGATAAAAATAGATAGTATAAAGATTTAGAAAGTAAAAATTAGAATTTATATTGAATTATGGAATCACACAATGAAATTGTTTATCATTAAACCAAATTTCATTTGGTTTTATAGTGAACCTTTATTTATTTATTTTGACTAGAAATTTGAGATATAATCACTTTAACTCTTGAAGAAAAGACAGTATTTTTCTATATAGCAAGAATAAGTGCAACAATGGCCAAGAAAAATAAAATATACGTCTATATTTACTTTGAATATCCACCACATTAAAAAGTAAAAAGATACTGCTGAAAATACTTTATCTACTCTTACTGCAAACACAAGTGTTAGTGGTCCCATGTGAGTAATGGTTGCCATGTGGGTTATTACAGAGTCAGTAACTCTACCTTTTCCACATGAATTTCTTACAAACAATTTACATTATCCAAGTCTTCATTTAGGCAGCACAAGTATCTTAAAAAAATATGGGACTTGAAAGATGGCTCAGCTGTCATGGGCATTTGCTGCTCTTTAAAAGGACCAGAGTTCAGTTCCCAGCACGCATGTTTCATGGATCCAGAGGAATCTGATGCCCTCTGCACTGTACTCATGTGCACAAACACACACACAACCCACACATACACACACAGAAATTAAAAGACTCTATTAAAGAGTTCTTTTGGAAAACTTAAGGCAAGATGTTTGCATCATTGATGTGGGAAGTCCTGTGATTATGTCAATAAAGCACTGTTGGGCCAATAGGGAACCAAGATAGATGGGACTAGTAGTCTAGGAGAACTCTGGGAAGGAGAAACACAGAAGTCAAGATGTATCGCCATGGGGTAGGAAGCCCAGAAAGTTCTCCGGTAAGAGAAACACGTAGATTAACAATTATGGGGTAATTACTTAAGTCAGAGCTAGCCAGTAAGAAACAAGCAAGGCCAAGAGCTTCATAATTAATATAGCCTCCTGTGTGTTTACTTGGGACTGATGCGGCTCTAGAACCAGGCTGGCGGGAAAGCTTCTCTCAAGGAAAAGGCTTCTCTTTACACATCATGTTTTTGTTTTCTTAGTCCCTTTCCTAATGTGGTGATGCAATATTATGAAAATATCTATTTCATTTTAAGAGACTGAAACCTTTGCTGGACCTCACAGCCAGTGTTAATAACACACCCTGGGGTCACTTATACTGCTATCCTATGTGTACCCAGTTCGTTCATTTAAGACAGCAATGTAACAACCTTACTTGCTGCCAGGCTTTGGTGGTGCACACCTTTAATTCCAGTACTCGGGAGGCAGAGGCAGGTGGATCTCTTTGAGTTCGAGGCCAGTCTGGTCTACAGAGCGAGTTCTAGGACAGCCTCCAAAACAATACAGAGAAACCCTGTCTCAAAAAAAAAAAGAAAACAAAACAAAAAACAAAAAAAAACCAACATAAACAACAAAAAGCAATCTTACTTGCTTTGAATTTCCCATGTAATTGATTTTTACAACCTAGGGCATTATAGCTATAATTTTAAGTCATGTACTCATCCATGCTCCTGACCAGGAACAAGGTATGTGTATCATTTGTTAAAAGCAGTAAATATAAAGGTTGAAAGCAATCTTCTAAAATGAGTATCTACCCATGGATATTGGTTGATAAATACTGATGTTTGAGGTACTATTTGTTATCTAGGTCTGTTGGGATCAGTGAAGTCAGTGACTGAATTCTTTGACAAACTGTTAAAGATTTCTGTAAAAAAGTCTGGTGGTAGTGGTTTACCTTTAATCCCAATACTAGGGAGGCAGAGGCAGGTGGATTTTTGTGAGTTCGAAGCCAGCCTGGTATACAGAGCTAGTTACAGGACAGCCAAGGATACAGAGAAACTCTGTAGTATCCTATTCCTTCCCTATGTGATTCTTTCTATGCTGTTCAATAAAGACATAATGAAACCCTTTGTTACACACACACACACACACACACACACACACACACACACACACACACACACACACACAGATACCCAATTTACAAGGCAGCCTTCAGGCAGACATAGATTCAGACTCATACTACAGACAGACAGAGGATGGAAGACAGTAAGCTGAGTCCATGGAGAAGTGCTTTTCTTCTTTTTTTCTTTTTCTTATCAAGGCATTATTGGTGACTAGAGTTAATAATTCATTGTTTCTCTCATGCATTTATTCCTGTAGCAAACAGTGATTCTCCAACTCACTATCCAATGCTTTGTGTTTGTTCTTTTCTTAACCACTTTCTCATACTTTGAGATCTTTAGATTCTGAAGACTTTATTTCAATGGTAAGCATCTAAATCCCTTTACAGATTCTTCTGTTTTTGAGTTTTACCTAAAACCATTGCCCTTTACTATATATTCTACCCTAAATATCCTTCAAATAGTCCTCTGTCTTTATTTCAAGTATGATTGCCTTCTTTTAGGTACTCATCACTCCTTGACTTCACTACAAAATCAGATTTTAAATGGTTTCTGAGCTCCATTTCTTTGAAAATTCTATTTTATACTGTCATTAAACTCATCCTTCTAAACAAAAACAACATATCATGCTTCTTATCATTGAACATGGAGAAACTGAGCTGGTGCTCAACTAGAAGCTTTGTCCCTACTGACTAATGTTATAGTGTTGGAAGGTACTATTCATGTTACTGGAGGAGAAAAGTAACCATCAGTCTCATCCCGTTATGACCCTTGTGAGTTCCAATAGCAACCTGCCTGAAAAATACACCCATTGGTGCAACAGTGGCATAAATGTTATGAGAATAGCCAAACACTATTTTTTAAAGTCAGTTTAAAGCTCACTGCACAAAATAGAACCCATGTTTGACACCAGTAAAGTGACCAAGAAACTGAAACTAGATAGGTCATGGACCCTAAGGAGAAAATCTACTATTATTATCATTCTAAGTGAGCATAACAATAAAATGAATCCTAATGACATATTTCTATTTCTATAGATTGGTGCACTGCTTAACCCTCAGCAGAGGAGCTTTGTAGAGGGAATTCTGCTTGGTCTTAATAATAAAAACCCAGAGTCAGATATTGGGGTAAATGCTGAACGATCAGAGAAGCAAAGGAGCCAGCCACTAAAGTTCTTACATCTAAAAAATCCTCAGACTGAAAAGGGGCTGAGCTCCTGTCTCCTCCTGTCTTACATCCTCTCTTCACCCAGCCACAGCACTTCCTGTCTCCACCTCCCTAGTGCTGGGATTAAAGGCATGAGATCCCAAGTGCTGAGATCCAAAGTGTGTGCCACCACTGCCTGGTCTCTATAATTAACTAGTGACTAGCTCCACCTTCTGATCTTCAGGCAAGCCTTATTTGTTGGAGCACAAACAAAATATCACCACAGAGCTTCTTCTTGAAGTAATTAATATAGAGATCCACAATTGGACAATGTGCAGAGAGTGAAAGACTATGAGGTATTCATCCCTAAGTAGGATGTTGTTATATCACTCCTTTCTCCTCAAAGTTCAGGGACCTATGCAGAAGAGGGGGCGGTAAGATTATAAGAGCCAGAGGTGTTGAATGTCTCCAAGGAAACAACATCTTCCAGACACAATAGGGCTGATGCACACATTAACTCACATAGACCATGATAGAATGTGCACATGCTCAAAGTGGACAAAATCCCAGTATGGAGAAGGAAAGGCAGGCACTAGGTCCCACCCATAACCAAGATGCTATTTGTAACTGATAGCTGGTGCGAGAGAAAAATCAGTTTTCCTCAAATGGAGTGACAATGGGTCTATCTACCGAACTCCAAGGCAGGCATCATGCTTACCAATAGTTAGCCAACACAAAACATACTTTATGGTGGGTGTTTGTTTGTTCGGTTTTATGTTTTTTAAGTGTGCCTTTTTCTTTTTATGTTTTTGTTTGCTTTAAGAAAAAGAAAACAACACGAAGTTGGTGGGCAGAGGGAAATGATCTGGGAGGAGATGGGAAAGCAGTAAGAATATGATCAAAATATATTGTACGAATATTTAAAATAATAAAAATGAAAGTTAAAAAAGATCCTGTTTCTTTCCAAGTTAAAAATCTTACCAACAATATAAAATACATGCTTTTAAGCATGACAGTACCTGTTCTAAACTGTCTCATAACCCTCTTATGAGCCTCCTCATACTTAAACTGTAGTCATGAGAAAAACACATCTTCCCAAACATTCTCTTCCATCACTATGTCTTATTGTTTTTCTAATTAAAACCCCCTTCATCTGGGTAACTATCCTTCACCTCTGAATACTCGGATCAATTTATTACAGAAGTATTCATATAAATATCCATCCCTGCTTCAGCATCAATCTCAAACAGAACTTTAGTCACAGAAGCCTCAGTGGTGCCGCTTCTTCAGCAATATCTCATCTTCTCCACAGACAAAACTTTGCCTCCTACACAATATAAAGTTCTATGTAAAAACAGGGTTCCTGGTAACTTCCCAAGGGCAAAGGGTTTATTTCTTCCTTGGGTCAGTGTCACACAGAGGTTTCTTAACTCACACCAGTGGTAGAGGGCTTATAGCTAACTTCAGTCCTTTCCTAAATTATGAACATCCTGGGAACAAGAAATTTATTTATTTTTCTCACTGTATACACTGGAGAGCACTTGAATATGAGTCAGTCAATACTTATAAAAAATAAATGAACAACTTACATCAATGGGTAGAAAAGCAAATCAAGATAAATAATAGAAATAAGTATCTCGAGGTGAGATTGGGTCTCCGGCGGGGACCGCCCGCCCATCACCCATCCCCCTCGATCTTCGGGGCCGATCCCGGCATCCAGAAGACCCGCCCACACAG